TAATGTGAAAACGTATGCAAATGTGGAAGGTGTTAAAGAGGACATCGACATGTTTTTTGCTTCAAAGTCAAATGATTTCTTGAATCAGGGCATTAACAACTTGATTGTAAGATGGAAAAGCATCATCGATAAGAATGGAGATTATTTCATTTAATAAATGTTTTGTTTTGATATGCAAGTTGTTCAGGTTTTTTTCATCTAAAAAAAGCGACATTAATTTTTTGACAACCTGATATTTGTAAAAGCGTAAGACAAGAATAATAACATCAACTACAAAATATCAATGTAAAACTGAAAACTGAGGTCATAATAGAACAGTACAATTTTTGAATGATAAAAATTAGTACATTATTACAACAATCATAATAGTACATGACCTTAAAACTAGATAACCGAATCATGACTTTTTGCCACTTTTCAACAGCTAACTATTATAGAATGTATGCTCAGTACCTGGAATATTCATCTGTTAACTTGCCTCTGTACCCATACACAAATTTTGGTGGAATGCAGTCATCAGCCACGGCACGTGCTATGAAGTTCCCCAGCATCTAGAACAGCACAATAAAAACAAATAAACTAACATGTAATAATTAAGTTTGAAAAAGAACAATCAAAAGAAAACTCACACTTTCAAATTATATAAAAATGTAGCTACTCTTTTTTTATTTACGTTATTTTTTGTAAACAGACAGATGAGAATGGGCACAAGAATAAAAGTCTACAATATATGCTAGGGACATTCTAAAAGGATCTAAGAAGCACATTCTCCCAATAAATTTTTGAAAATTAGAAGCTTTCTAATTTTCAAAGTCTCAACAGTCTTTTAAAACCTCATCTGCAAAATAGGTGTTCTGACAGATCCCAGTAATAAGTTGTTAAGAATTTTAAATTCTCACAAAAGGAGAAAAACAACTGCCTCACCACCATGTGTTTGTACTGTACTGTTGTCTGCTTGCAAGTATCATAAACATTACTTTCTCTTTTGAGATATTCAAAATTCTGAAAAACTGGCACATGGACTTTTGAAGATGAGGATTAAAATGATAAACATCTTCTTAAATGTCAGTTTTAATTTTTTTTATTGAAATTTATATATTTGGGGAGACTCTGGGGAAGACAGACCTTCCAAAAATCATGTATTATGGTAAAGGGTATAACCATACTACTGCTAATAATACTGAACTCTTCTTGAACCTTTGTTATAGATAATTTATCTCTGTAATTTTCTACATTTCTTCTAATATATGTTCAAGAGCAATTATTTATCAGGAAAGGGGTGAAAATAGCTTTACATCTGTAAGTTGAAGTGTTCAATGTAAAAAAAAAATTCTTTTTTTTATGTCTGTAACTAAACCCTACCTTTTAATATAATTTTCAACAATTATTTGGCATATTTTAATATTCTTAGAAACTTTTCAGGAAATTACTGAATTAAATAGAAAAATCATTCACTTTGGTACACTGAAAATAACCTAAATGACAACTTTGTTACACTACGTCTCAGTCAAAACACAGTAATAGTTTTTTTTTTGTATTTTATGAACGTTAATTTATATCAGGACATTTGTATACATTTTTTAGGGCTAAAGCTGTCACTAATATTACAATGAAACTAGGAATACATACAAAAAAATATTTGTATTTTGTTTTGTTTTTTTATTCAGCACAAATACAAACTTTTTTCCACATACATAGTCAATTGAATAGAAAAGAAGGACCATGTTCTGATTAATAACTAGATCTTAAGTTTAGCTAACCAAAGAGTTAGAGCAGGTCTTAAATCGTAAAAATATTGATTAATCATCCACTTTATCAATTATTCTGACAACTTACTGTAGGAGCTTCAGGAATATCCAACACTAAGTCACCTAGACTGTTAATCAAACTGTCAAAACCCTGTTCAATGTCTTCTTCAGCTAAGAGTCTTCCACAGAGGTCTGACAATAGAACAGACGTTATTTCCCTATGAGAAGGTTTTCTTTCCATTGACAAATTAACCATCATTTCAACCAATCGTGGTTGCAAATTTCCTATATCCAAATCTTCAAGAGTCATCTGAAATAATGCAGTGGTGATTATAGTTTTTCTGAATTTTTTCTAATATGAACAGTTAACTGGTACTATCAATTCGGTATTATTCATGGCATTCCAATATTAGTTTTCTAGAGTCAGTTAAATCATGAAATCCTGATTGAAATATATTATAAATAATGATCCCTCTAAGCTGCACATGTGCTGCTGTTCAGCAACCTGGCAGGTACCATATACAAAAAACAACAGCCCACTCACAAGTTAGTCAATTGATAAAAAGTTTTGTATGGAAGACATAGGCCTACAATTTGAACAAACCCATGTCCAATGTAAAGTAGTAGTACCAGTGCCAACAGCTGCTCAAAAATGTGCTATTCACCTTTTAAATAAGAATGTCTTTTGTAAATTACAGAAACCAAAACTACCTCTGAACAGAAAAACTGTGCTCAGAAGAATTGTAATCTGCACATTGAAAATGTATTTCCAATAAGTACTTACCTCCCCTCCTCCATGGCTATCTCAACCTTCATAAGCCCTCTAGACATTGGTAAATTTTTTTAACAGTGCACCAGTTTTTTATCCACTTATATTTTTTGCATCATTGCTGACCCTATGACCACTCTCCACCAATCCCATTGCAACCTCTATACTAGTGCAGGTAGCTCCCACTACCCTTTCAAGAATTAGCATATACAAACCTGAAAATACAGGCAAATCAGTGGGGAGGAAGGGTGGGAAGTAGGTGAGAGGAGGTAAGTGCCTATCGGAAATACATTTTCAGTGTTAGAAAATGTTAACTTCCGAAATGGTACTACCTTCGCTCCCCTATAGCTAGAATCCCACATTGGAAAGGTGGAAGGGCCGGTGAAGCCACAAAAACAAATAATCAAGCAGAGAGTGACCACTATGAAAAAATGCAGATGTGGTCCATCTGAACAGAGAACATCCAGTGGAAGTACCTTGCATAATAGATTTCATGCCATACTGTGCATAGAATATGCAGTATCATGACAATAGATAAAATCAACAAATGAGGTCCACCTAGGCAAAAACATCCAGGCCCCTTGCATAAGAGATTTTGTACAATATTGTGTGTATAATATGGAGCATAACAACAATATCCCTCTTCTCATTGAGTGATTACATGGCTACGAGATTGTGTTATTGTACAAAACCCACTCCACTGTCCACCGCTCCAGCAACTGAGAACCAACTGGGGGGGTCTGGAGGAACAACCCACCACAGACAGTGCAATGGTGTCTGCATTTTCCTATTTTGGAAAGCAAAAAGACATGGAGTTTAAGAATCACAGGTCAATAGGGATGGGCAAATATCCCTATCTGCTTTACTCCATGAGGTTATATATATAGATAGATAGATAGATAGACAGATATATTTTGATTTAAAAAATGTGATATATAGGTATACATACACCACCAGAAAATGTCCGGTGGTCTTACAGAAACACCCCATCTCTACAGTGAGCAACAGAAAAGTATACATGTATAGTGCTAAGATATAAAATTCAGCATACCTGAGAAACTTTTTGAAGAAGGAAGCAGGTGTGAGTGACTGATAGGGCAGAGGACGAGGCGAGAAGAAGCCTGTCATCCAGGAAATGCGAAGACCCAACGAGTGAAGATGATGTGCAAAAGAGCATACCACTCCACAAAACTCATACAGAACTGAAGAAAAGTAGACTGTGAGCATCCAGAACAGGCAGGTAAAACTCACCTAGTAGAACCAAAGAAAATAACATATCACTGGGGCATGAAAATGCACCAATGTGACTTTAAATGCCCTGTGTATAGGGAGGCAAAGAAGGATGGGAGTAAACTCCTGGTGGAGTGGGCACCACTCATTAGATAGCTCCATTTTGTAGTAGGACACAAACAGACTAGGCAAGATGACTGGATAAGGTACAATCCCGAGGAGGAGATCTGGGAAGTGGCTAGAGAGGGAGCAAAATGGAAGTCAGAAACCCTCATAGAGAATCTGTAAAAAGAGTGGAACTGTTGTAAGTGTAGCCAAAATTAGACATAAATTAAAGGACTAACAAAAACTTAGAAACATTTAGTCTACAAAGAGGCTAAAAGTAATACACGTGCAAAACTAAGAAAATTTACCTAAAAATAAAACAACAAGTAACAACTAAAGTACAAAATCACTAAAGGGACTGATAAGATAAACGACCCTTAAACTTAGAATGTATAAGATGACTCAAAAAAGCTAGAAGACAAAGGATACGAAAAGAAACTTACCCCAAAGAACATGAGAATAAAAAGGCACCAAGTCAACAAAAACAAAGTTTGACACAAAACTTATCCCCAATTAGATGTGACTAGTAGTAAAGATACAAAAAAAGGCACTTATAACTAAATACATTAACAGTGAAAAAAGTAAAATGTTAAACAAAATTAATGCCAGAAATAAACTTCAAATGCAAGTTGTAAACTAAAGTAACCTAGATGGTAAAATAAGTATAAAATTTGAACTTACAAGACATTGACCATGGAAAATATGAATGACAAATTATCGAATGCAGAAATGAGATCCATACATGAGCTCACATAAACTCATTGAACATGGGTAAATCTAAGGGGAGTGAGAAATACACACTGAAAAACTTACCACAGACCTCCTGGGAAAAAGAACAATACCTCTCTTGAAAGGAAAAAAATTGCCAGTTGAGCATAAGACATGAACAAAAGTCTGTGCTTCCTCAGCAGACATCTTCAAACCTAGGAGTGAGGCCTAGTGTTATAACCTCTGTCTGCTTATGGAAAAATATCAACCGCCATATGAAACCCAAATTCATATGAACAAAGGAGAATTCAAGTAACAGAAACATTTCAAAAACAAACAAGTAGAAACTTCATGTTTAAACACTATGATGAAACCGATATTAATTGGTGATCAAGCATGATCAAAACTATGCAGTCACATGGAAAAAGTTAAAACATACATCTATACACAAGAATGCCAATCAAGGAAGTAAGGATTGTGCCCAAATGGTAGAGGGAGCTACCCATATTAGTACAGAGGGTGCAATGGGATTGGTGGAGGGTGGTCACATGATCAGCACATTCCTGCAATGATGCAAAAAATATAGGGATATAAAAGACTAGTGCGCTGTTCAAAAAAACTTACCAATGCCTAGAGGGCAAATGAAGGTCGAGATAGCTATGGGGGAGAGAAGGTAGTACCATTTTGGAAACAACTTCTGATAGATTTCCTATGTTTTGTTCCCTGGATCTGGTCATTCAAACACAGAAGAGTTCAATATACTTAAGTGTAATAGACTGATAATGTACACATTTGTATGGGAAACGTGATAGAAAAAATAAAATATGTACAAGTTTGTTTTTATTTTCATTTCAGTACTACAAAATATAACGATAGGTTACAAAACATAACAATAGTGCTAAACATCTTGTAAATGTTGTTTATGTCAGATGTACAAAAGAAAATTTAAAGGCACAACATATACTGAACTGAAAAACAAAAACATATGTTTCTCAACAAAAGAGTATAAGAGTTATATGTGTGTGTGTGTGTGTGTGCTTGACATGAAACTAAGAAATGCATGTGGAAGTATGTATGTTGGGGGGGAGCATGAATTTAACACCCAATCAAATAGAATTTGTACCCAAAACCACAAAATTTGGTATCCATAAATTTAAATACACTTAGATCATTTTATAAGATACCCATTTTTCAAAGTTTAATTAATACTGTTGTCAACTGAGATGGAAAGCTGCAGTAAAATATTTCAAAGCATACAAAATTATTTTTATCAATGGTTTTTGTGAAGAGGATGGATTTGATATAAAAACCCTTTGTGTGTATATTTGGTTTAAATTTTAACTGGTTATCATTGTCTTATGTATTAATCTGTAGTATTCTCACATAGACATATACACAAAAAATGCTTAGACTTAATATAAGATTTTTGTGTATAAAGTTTAAAAATGACAAGGCTCAATATCAGATAATATAAATCCAGTGTCTTTCAAAAGATTTATGTACATTATATAAATATATACATTGTTGAAAATTTTAAAGCTCTCTATTCGATAGGCTAATAAAAATAACACTAGAAGGTGGAAACAATCATATTAAGACACAAGTATCCATATTGAAGAAAGCAATTAATTTTATATGAACTTCACTGGATCCAACACTAACAGCAACTTCATTTGTGTCTCCATGTTCAAAGTATTCATGAAGCATGGAGTCAACAGTTCGTTCAAACTCCTCTTCTGTCAGTTCTGGTTTGATTGCTTCAAGCTTACAATTGTCCTATATGGAAAAAGATATAATGAAAAACCAGGCTTACACACATTAACTCCATTGACAAAAAAACTAAAATAATGTAGTTCACTTTCTCATGTCTAGTTATCTAACAGGAAATGTCATCTTAGTGATAAAACGATAATTGTAATGAAACAGATACTTAAAAGGTCAACAAGCTTATCTGTAAAATGCAAAATTAAAAATTTATTTAAAATTTAACTTTATTTATAAAAAGACTGGTTAAAATCTGGTTGAATCCATTAGTTGATAGAATGATAAAAAATATATATATTCAACAAAATTTCTAATAATAAATACGTTAATTTTTCTAGGCTGAGTAGAAAATAGAATTAACTTTCACATATTTTATACAAAACTTGTAAAACCTGGAAGCCCACAGTTGATGTTAGCATTTTTATAAAACTGTTTTGGAAAGTTATTAATTTTTTCACATTACAAAAATAATTGTTTTGTGCCGATTGTTGTTGAGTTTGTTTCACAGCTTGTCAAATTTTCTTTTTCAGCTCTTAAGATTAAGAAACAAAGTTAGTATACCCCATGCTTCTACTTCTACAACTGTGAATTAAAAGCACCTTGCTTTGTTCTAAGGTGTCCTGATGTGTGGATTCCCCACCAAGAAAAATTGTACCATTGAATTTTAAAAAACTTGCAGTGATTCTTCTTCACATTAAATAAATTAACTTCAGGGTTCAAATTTAGGCCAATATTGCTTCCAGTTCAGAAGATAATTGCTTAGAGACCAAAACAAAGTGACAAAATCTTAGCTTAGTGATATCTACTAAAAGAAAAAATGTTTCTTCACAGCATCCACTACAATTACAGTAAAGCTTACTTTATCATTTTATTTATCATTTGAATTATGATGTTGAAATATGATAGGAAATAGAACAAGGCTTCTGTTTGTTAGGCTGGGTAACCAATTGAATGAGAAAGAATTCACAAAAAAAAGTAAAAAAAATGTGTGTGTGTGTGTCTATATATATTAACTAACATAATTTAAAAACAACAGTTAAATGGCTTATAAAGTTCATATGGTAAACATTTTTTTATTGTACATCAGTGACTGTAAACACAATGACACTTCATGTGGCTTTCCAATTCAAAACAAGTATAAAATTTAGTTTTATAAAATAAAAACTTTACAAGAGTATTAAAAAAATTATGAATTTTAAAATGAAGTAGAGATCCTGCTATATCATAAATTTATAAAATTTAGTCCTTACTCTGGCCTACATATAAGTGTATAAAGCATAAGGTGATAAAGTCATGATTACATTTGCCTTTGGCTATCTAACCGAGACAGAGGTCAAACCAACCTGATCAGATCAAAATACAATATGTGACAGACTAAACAACTAATTAGTAGTTTGACATTTTGTTAATTGCAAGCTGAAATTCTTTAAATATGACATTTGGTGTGCCTCTGTATAAACATTGCAGTGTGGATGCCTATGGTAGTCCATTCGGGACGTATGGGCATCTTAGGGATTTTAGCATAAAATAAATAAATTTCTGGCTGTATAATTTGCTAGGATGTCTACCAACGGAAGAGTTGTATAACTGAATTACATAAAACACTTTTTTCACTTATTCTTCAATGTGATAAATATTTACTGCAGTAACTAAAAAGACAATTAACCTGACTTTCAGAGTCATAGTTGGGATCATGAGCATCTTCTTCCTCAACAATAAGTTCACTGCCTGGTTTACCCCAAGTGCCTTTACCCCCACCACCTCCTGGTAACAACAACAAAAAAGTTTATTTTTATAATATTAAATTATCACTAAAAATTCTTTTTTTTATGTATGATTAGCATTAAGTAAATAGTTTTTATTGTACTAAGTGAAAAAGATTTCCTAAAAAACAAATTCAGTAATTGTCTATAAAATATTTTTGAAGAATTTTATCACTGCTTACAAAAGTTAACTTATACACTTAATTCACATCCTCTAAAAGCTCAAGATATATTGTATGATGGAAAATTATGAAAGAATTTAATCATCATCTGAGAAGCAATTATATTTGAGTAGCTAAATCTATGATACATTATCCAACTTACCTTTTAATACCACAGGGATAAGTAGCACAAAGTTACTTGGCTCATTGCAGCGAACAATGAATATTAACAAAATGAAACAAATGATCAGTTAACAATTCTAAAAGAGAAAAAAATCTGGCCTTTGAAACGTTAGTTAAAAAAAAACAATTGTTTTATAATTATCTGAGCTGTAAAGGTCACTATTTTCTAACCTAGGATCTGAGAATCACTCAATACAAAATTATGTGTAACCATTTAGTCTGGACTATCAGTTAATATAAAGCTCATTCAAGTTTTCCAAAGCTTGCACTTCTCACCTCTTAACATTCAAGCATCTAATAGTTTCAAAAACCCGAATAACATCCCTCTTTTTTTATACTACACTTGAGTGAAAACAAGTGCAATTTGCAAGATTATTTTAAAATTTGTACCATTTTGACAACCCTTCTCAGTAACCTTTATAGTAAATCAACAGTACTTTGCCTACAACAAGTTTTCCAAATTAGGTTTAATCAATCTTATACAAAATAACAAAAATCTTGTTGCTCTTAATACTTTAGATCAGCATTCCCCAAATTGTGGGCCACACCATTCCAGGGGGGAAGGCATGAGTTATTAGGAGAGTAAATAGTGCAATAATGTAAAATTAAGCATTTTGATATATTTTTTATGAATGAAAATAATATGTAATTACTACAACACATAGCAATTTGATGCGTATCATATATTACATCTCGTTACTTAACTCACTATTTCACTCATTTAAAAACAGAGGGGGTACGCATAAAAGCATATATACATGGGAACATAAATGACAAAAGTTTGGGAAATGCTGCTTTAGATAGATTTCATTACCTAATAGACTAGTTACCGTAACTACACATGATCAAATGCTTCAGTTTTTCAAAAAAAAATCTAAGCTTTTTCTTTATTTCACAACAATTTTAACCTCATGAATTTATTCTTGATGAAGGAAGGATTAACTTCCAAAAGTTAACATTTTTCTTACACTGAAAATGTATTTCCGATAGGTACTTACCTCCTTTCACACAAAGCTATCTCAATCTTCTTTCTGTCATCTAAGCATTGCTAAAAGATTTCCATGCTATATACTCAATCAATTTCATGCCATTTTTGAACATGTACATATCATATGACTACTCTTCACTAATAGTATTGAACCACCAATATTGGCACAACTAGCTCCCTCTGCTATTTCCACTCAATCCTCACTTTCAAGAATTGGCAGGCTCTAAAAGAAAAGCACTGGCTGTGGGAAAGAAGGGTGTGAAAGAAGGTAAGTACCTACTGGAAATAAATTTTCAGTGTAAAAAAATTAACTTCCAATACGGTCTTTCATCCTCTCACACAAAGCTAGAATTCCACATTGCAAAGGTGGAGGCACCAGTTTAGGCACTCAAAATTGAAAACAAGAGGAGCGTGAACCCTGAAAAGAGGCAGTACATGTCACATAACACCCTAAGGAGCAAACCAGACAAAGAAGCCAATCAGGATCGGAATGGGAGTACAGGAAAGAGAAACACAAAACCTTATGAAACTTGGTAAAAGGGAAGATGTTTGTAAAGGCCACCCAACAACTAAACACAATTGAAATGGACAAGCCTTTTTCAAACAATCAGGTGAAGAATTTGGAAAGATGAGGAATAAAATGATTGAAACCATGTTGAATAGATCAAAAAGAAAGGTACACCATCACCTTTGGAAAAAGGACCTGGAAGAAGATCTGATGCATAGGGAAAGGAAAGATGCAACATGTGCAGCAGTCCCTGACAAAAGCCATTCTTGAAGATGGAGTGTGGTAATGTGTGGATGAACAATGTCCAACTGAGGTTAGCAGGGTAGAGACTGAGACAGAAGTAAGAGTAGGAGACATTGTACAAGTAACATTCAGAGCAGAGGGAACCATGGTTGTGCCGGCCAATAAGGAGACACAAGTAGGACTAGACACAGAGTGGTTTGGATTAGGGATAGAACTCTGGAGAGGAGTCAAATAGGATGGTAAACATAAATGTGATTATCCTTCTAATCATGACAGAATGTTTTCACTTCCAGAGCTAGAAGGTGTGGAATGGGAGATCAAAAGGAAGGAAGTTTCGTGTTCCAGTATGTGGTGAAAGCATCGAAAAGACCTGTAGATTGAGAGACCACTCTGTGGGGAGAATCTTGTTGGGTCAAGATAAACGACCTAAAACCAGATTCAGATTGCCAAGAACATGGCAAACTAAGACCAACATATGATAACTGTGGGCCCAGAAAACAAGATCCAGGGTCTGAAAGCACGGAGACTTGGATTTGGTACCCCTTGCTTGGTGAATAAGTGACTACTGTGGAGTTGTTGGAATGTACTATAACCACTCTCCCCCACAGGATAGAAAGGAAGTGGGATAAAGCTGAACAAACCAATATAAGTTTTAGAATGTTGATATGGAGAGAAGACTCCTCAACCGACCAGAGACTGGAAATCTCCATGTCCAGGTAAGCACCTCAACCCTCTAAAGATGAATCCATGAACAGATGTAAATCTGGATGAGGTGGAGGAAGCAGAATCCCCACTGTGGTTTGTTCTCTGTCTAGCCACCAAGCCAGGCTGGCCCTGATAGGAGAAGGAAAAGTAAAAGGGTGGTTGGAGAGTAGAAGTTGTATTGATCGAGGAGTGCCCATTGAAGGGAACACATATGAGCTCGATCCATGGGAATGAGAGTTTCCAAGGAAGCCCACATCCCCTAAAAGAGATAGAACCTCTTGAGATGTTAGAGAATGTGAAGTGAGGACCTTGTGGACACCTTGCTCCATATCCTAAAAACAAAGAGGAGAAGGGTGGGCCAGACTGAGGTTGGAATTGCAGAAAACCCCCAAATGAACAAAGTACTGAATGTGGGTAAGAACAGACTATTCTACCTCTATCATGAATCTTATCCATGCTCCTAGCTTGTAGGAGCAGATCAGTGTGGTCTCTGGACTGTGAACAAAAAGAAGCAAGCAGGAGCCAGTCGTCCATGTAATTATGACTACAAAGACCCATTGAGTGAAAATGTCGAGCAAAAGTTCTTACCACCAGACAAAAACCCCGAATTGTAGAGTAACAGGAGAAAAATTGGATTATAGTATCAAGAACATATTACAGATTTTAAAGTATTTACACACACACAAAAAAAATGCTGATTTTAAGATAACTAAATAAAACAATCAAAAAGCTAAAAACAGACACCAATTTAAACCAAAAAAAGTTCACATATCCCTACTATATTATAGCCTTGGATCCATCTAAGTAACTCATTCTCACACCTAGCACAAAAGAACTACTTGTCTATGTCTATTCCTAAACCTCTGAAGGAGTTCTTTATACTTAATCAGTTCTTCCGATTTATAGCTTACAACATCATTTGCTCCTACATGCACTACAAAAGAGAAAGTTCCTTGGTACCAACAACTAAACTGTCCACATGATGTATAATATACTGTATTTTATCACTTGGCCTAATAAATCAGTTATGGTTATTAATTTCCCATGGTTTCAAAACACTTGGGTAGCTGCATAGTTATAAATACAACAATTATGTCCCCAACACTACATTAAAATGGAATTAGACTGAAAAGTAAACAAATGGTTTGTTTTCGTAAATGTTAAGCAATTCAGTTGTGCTGTGTGTATAATATGTTTTCATGTATAAAGTTTAGAATTAAAAAACAACTTAATTCTAAATTGTTGTGTCTGAAGTTAGAGTTTTTTCTGGTCTTTTCCTTATTTTTTCTACCTACTTGTATTA